GGATCCAAACTTTTAAAATGGCATACATATTGGTAATTAATAAGTACAGTAAGTTCTTGATTATTAGGAAAAAAACAGAACTTAAAAAGGAATAATTGAGCTAGATCTACCAGTTTTCATTGCTTTGTTACGGCATAAAATGATAGGGGGCGGTTGCTTCAGTAAGAAAGTTCCCATTAAAAACTCTTTGCAGGATCTCAAATATTTTTCTATCTACTATCTATCATGTGGGAGAAAGACCAGGAAGAGTTATAGTCTTGGAAACACACCTGGGCAGTTCTACCCTGCCCTATGGTGCTGCTTTGAGTCAGCATAGAGCAGAAGGCAGTGAGTTTGGTTTTGGAGCTACCATCTATTTCTTACTTTTATTATGTGCCAGGCATTCTTTTAAAACAAACCTATTAGGTAGATACTATTATCTCATTTTATAAATGAGGAAATCATGTTTATATAGACTCAATAATTTTCCTAGAATCACAAAGATAGGGAGAGACTGAGTGAGGATTCACATCAAGATCTTTCTTGTTCTATTATAGACCCAGAAGTAGAAATAAGCTGGAGCTACCTAAAAGGACATTTAGCACAGATACAGTGAAAAAACCAAGACTAGCTCACTTAGATTGAATAGACAACCACTGTAAAGGGTAGCAATCAACATCCAACATCAAGCTGTAGCTTTCCCTTGAGAGGTATGAGAAAGGAACCATGAGTGTTTCTATTCTGTGTGATAAATATGCTGCTTTGGTTAGAGAAAGAAAGCTTAAAAAATTAAAATGAAAAAATCTGTTTCAATTAGAATATGTGATCAGAACAATCCTGGAATTGTTGAGAAAGGCTGAACTCAAGGGGTGATGAAAAGTAAACAGTAAGTCTCAAGAGCCACACTAATTCAATGCAATATTCCAAATTAGGTCATTTGTATTTGAGAGCAAGGCCTCAGAGAAAGGAGGAGGGGATGGAAGAAGCATACACCACCGATCCAAACAAAACTCCACATTCAAGTGCTATCGAGTCAATTCTGGCTCATGGCAACCCTACAGGGCAGGACAGACTTGTCCCGTGCGTTTCTGAGACTGAAAAACTCTGTATGGGAATAGAATGGCTCATCTTTCTCCCGGCATACACCGATAATGACTTTAATTTCAAAACAGTGGGTTGAGGAGAAAAACACATCACAGGGGTGGGGGTGGGGGTGTGTGTTAAGAATGAAATATTAAGAAAATTAGATCTTTAGGTAAAAAACAGGCTCTAATTATCAATAAAGAACAATTAAGTACATAGTATGAGTCCTATGATCTAACAATACAAAGGCACGAGGCTTATTTCTGGATATTTAACAACCATCAAGAGGGACTTGCCCTTGATGGGGAGCGGCTTCCCTCAGGGGTTTTCTCAGGGGGATGTTTGTGTGGTACCCAGCAGTGCTGCCGCCTCTCGCTCTCTAGTGGTGCGAGAACGCCTATGGACAGGCAGCAGCACAGAGAAGGCTTTCCCACTTTATCCCCATGAAGTGATGGCCTGAAGGGAGGTCTTTATATCCCTAGATCCTTCCTCCATCTTTCCCTCAGCATGCAGGGCAGTCAAGTGACAGAATGAAATATGTATGAAACAAGTTTACAGGTAAACAACGTGTTAACTCAGAAAACATCTTCAGTGGCACACAGCAGTTTTAATGTATCCATTAAGTTTGTACAGTAAGCCTATATAACTAAACGTCTCAGAAATGTGGACAGTTCTGCTTAAAGAAAATTCATGTCTGAATCCTGATGAGGAAAATACTTGTAAAACTTGTAGCAGGTTTTACTAAAGTTACTTGCTGCTTCTAGATTCTCAGTGATGAAGCTCTTTTTAAACAGAATTATTTACTTCATAGTTCTAGAATTGGACAAAAGGTTATATTTAACTCTGCTCGAAGTCTGATTTCTTTGCCTGGAATTAAAAGCTTTTCTCCTAAAAGAGAAGTAAAAGAAACAAGAAGTCTGCTTTACCATAAAAGGAAAACAAGCTGATTTGTGTTCCAATCCTTTATTTTCCTCAAAATCATTTTGTAAGTTAAGATAGCCAACAACCAAACTGCCCTTACACAAGTTCATGTGTCTAACGGAAAACTCTTTCCCTTGGGAGCTACCTAGGAAGAATCACATCAAAGTGGAAGACCTGATTTGTAAATTTTAAATTTTAGATTATATAATTATGATAAATTATAATAATGAAAACTGAGTACTAACATTTGCATTGTAAAACAGTAGTGAGAGAACACCACTGGACAGTTCACTGCACACAAAATATCTGCTTATTGATTAGGATCAGAACTCAGCTCAAGTCTATCAATGAAAACAGTGGCAACAAACACTTTCCCATAAATAATCCAAAATTGTTCCAAATGTACTTCGGAAAAAAATTGCCTCAGTAAGATTTTTGCTGATCTTGTCTTACTTGTGATAATACTTTTTAAACACAATATTTTCTAAGATAGGTGCTTTTCACAAAGTAACAAAATGCCCTTATCCTGACTTGCTATCCAGATTAAGTTACCTATATTTTGGACATTTAAAGTTAATATTTTATTTTTTGGAGTTAATATTTTGAGCTCAAAGAATAAAACAATTTATTTAAAAACGGTTTACTTATCCTGACTGGCTGTCCAAATGTAAAGTGAGAAACAGACTTTGAAAGATTTTGAGACACACTTCATCTCCTCACTCAGTTACTGAGCTCTCGCTACTTACTCATCAGGAGCTAAAGGGACAGTCCAAACCTTCACTATTTGCTCTCAAAATACATGGGTTATAACGTCAACAAATACGCCTGTTTTCATTTTCTGTTCTTTCTACACAGAATCAGATTTATATTTTTACTCTACATATTGAACATTTCCCCATATAACTACACAGTCCTCATAATCCTCAATTTTATTTTTATTAGCTATTTAATATTCCATGGAAAAGACTGAGGATATATAACTTCTCTATCTCTGAATATTATTTATTTCATATGTCCTCCATTACTACAGTGTAATAAAAATCTCCAAATACATTTCTCTCTATTTAAAACATACTGTTCTGCATTATAATTACAACTAAGTTTTACATAAATTTTATAACAATATTTTAAATAAAATGTTCATTAAGAAAGTAGATAGTATATTTTTAAAAATTGATAAGTAATGAAAAAGGCTTTTTTGGGGGGTGAAAAGGATAATTTTTAAAATGGCAATTCAGTAAAACATTTTTTAAAATAAATTCTGTTCTATTTCTTTGAGCTCAAAATATTAATTCTAAATGTTAAAAAATATAGGTAACTTATCAATGAAATCATCACATATAAAAAGGATATCTCCCAAATCATTTTATTTTAGATTATATATTTACTTATAGTTATTTAGGCAGACATCAATTATCTTGTCCCAAATCCCTATGCTAATTTTCTATAAAATAAATTTAATAACCAGAAGATATTTTAATAAAACTTGTTACATAAATATATTTTTAAATGACAACAAGCAATGTTTATTAAATAAATTTCCTTAACGCAATGACGAATTTAAATTCAACAGTATAATATCTAAAACTGACAAAAAAACAGAAGCTCTTCTAAAACTGCTATGTGAAGAATCTTGAGGGAATGTCACGTTTGAATTTCTGCCTGCTGTACCCAAGGGTTGGCTATGTTCCTGAGGTTGTAGGGCTGAACAAGAAACATATGTGACTATTCATAAAATGAGCAGATAAGCATAAAAACTTTGAAAATAACTCACTTCAAAAAGAAAGAGGACAGAAAAAGAAAAATGCATGCTAGACAGGAAAAAGTATAAACATTATCAACAAACCTTTATTATATGTGGTGACTTTCAGATCACTTATAAGACCAAAAGATATTACGCCCTCATGATAGAAGTGATTTCTATTCTTGTTCAGAATTCAGTAGAGGTCCTAATTATCTCAAAAGTTAGCCTACTTAGGTATCTTTAAAATATTCTTAAAGGCAGCCATAAATAACTATCTAAGGTACATGCCGGACTATAAGACAATATATTATTACAGGTATACCTCAGAGATATTGCAAGTTCAGTTCGAGACCACCACAATAAAATTGTTTCACAATAAAACTGTGTCGCAATAAAGTGAGTTGCACAATTTTTTTGGTTTCCCAGGGCATATAAGTTACATTTACAGTATACTGTAATAGTATTAAAATTACCCTGAGAATTACCACAATGTGACACAGTCACAAAGTGAGCATATGTTGTTGAAAATGATGCTAAAAGATTTGCTTGGTGTAGGGTTGCCACACACCTTTGACTTTAAATACAGTATCTGCAAGGTACAATAAAGCGAAGCACCATAGAATGAGGTATACATTCCCAGAGAGCTCCTGCTATGCTGAGGGCCATTTTCAGAATTGAGTGCCAAACTAGATCATTCTCTTTATTTATTTATCTATTTACTTATTTTTAATTATTTTATTCGGGGCTTGTACAATTCTTATCACAACCCATACATACATCCATTGTGTCAAGCACATATGTACATTTGTTGCCCTCATCATTCTCAAAACATTTGCCTTCTACTTTAGCCCTTAATATCAGTTGCTCATTTTCCCCCTCCCTCCCCACTATTCTTTTTATTTAAAACAAAAACGTAAACATCAAATTCATAACACGAAGCAAGTTAATATTATTACTCTTCATTGCATATCCAAACAAAAAGTTTAGGAGTTAAACATCCCCTGCGTAGTAAACCATGTTTTATAAGTAAGCTTATTATATATTTCCTCCACCCACCCCCATGCTAACACGAAATGCTCAGCTACACATATGAAAGGAACTGCTACAGAAAAAAATAGTATTTTTCTCAAAGAGAGGTTTGCTGCTCTCTGAAGATGGCCCTTTCGGCCCCTCTCACTAAGGCAAATACATGAAGACCCTCGGTTTCCCTCTCACTTTTTAGTTTCAGTCCCTGACTGTATTAAAATTAGTGTGAAAAATACTCTGTACTCACTCTGGCACTCTATGAACTGATGAATAAAAGTGCAGTCCCCGCCACTCTTTGAAAGCAAGTGCTCTAATAAAGAAAGAAACACCTTTAAGGATATAGTTTGATGCTGTCTTTGAAAACCAACTGCAAAGGTAGGAACTGTATTTACATAGGTAATTTTGGGTAAGACCAATAAAAGTCAAGTATATCTTATTTAATACTAAATGTAGATAAATGTTAGAATGAAATAAAGTTCATGACTAAAATTGTAATAATTTGAAAATCATTAATTTGTACCCTAATGGTCAGCTTTTAAAGGTGCAGTTTTTATACAAAAAGCTCAAGAAAAGCGTATGTATGTGTGTATATATGTATACGTTCACATAATTCTTTTAAAAGCTTCAGTTTTAAAATGCCCCTTTCTCCACAAAAGCTTAACAAATGCCTTTAAATGCTTTTATAATTATTACTTGTTGTTGCTGAATCAATTTTCAAATACATGTTCTCTACTAGTCCTCTTCAATCCATTCACCTTAGTTAAGAGGTAAAAGGAAATACCTTATGAACACCATAAAGTAATGCCTTAAATAGAAGGTTTTGTTCAGGTCAGAGATTTTTAAATTTTAAAATGGATGGGGACAATCAAAATCAAATACTCCGCTTTATTTACGTTTCAGCCTTTTCCTTAAATAATCATCTTTGTTTGCTGTGGTTCAATGAATTAAATTTGGATCTAGAAAACATCCTTCAATTACAGATCTGCATAATTCAAAGCCTTTCCAATGGAAAGTCGTCTTAGAAATATGACAGTAATTCAAAAAAGTTTCACTGCAAAATCACAGAACACTTTCTTAAGAGAACAAATTGTCAAGTTGTTTTTCAACATCTTCCCATCTAGGTCTATCCACTTTGGAAGGAGGTGTTTCCATTTCTCCAGCCCATCCTTGAAGAATTCTGTGCACTTCAATTTGTAGGTCAAAATGGAAGTGTGCTACCCTCAATGGACTCAAATTGTACTCCTCCCACTGATGAGTTTAGGGAACAAAAGGAAGTCTAACAGGAAAAGGTCAGTGGATAGGGTAAGGTTTCCCAATACAATTCTTCTGCGATAGCTCTTGCTACCTACTTGAAGAATGAGCAAGAGCCTGGTGTTGACAGAAGAAAAAAAAACCCTACGTGCAACTTTCCTGGCCTTTTTCTCACCAATGCAGTCCTCAGTTTTAAAAAAGGCCTTCATAAAAAGCCCCCATGATCATCCTGTGTCCTTTGAGAAAATTCCAAGATTACCATTTTGGAATTCCCCTCCAAAAAGTCTTCATTGCCTTCTGAGCTGATTTCTCGGTTTTGAATTTAACTGGCTAAGCAGATCCCCTCACAAGCCAGTGTTTGGATTTGACTTTGCTTCTCGGTCCACGATTCCCTGATTAGAAATTGTCTTAGGAAGACAAAGCTTCCATCTATCTTGCTTAAAAGGCTGGTGGGAAAATCAATTCTTTGAACTAGCTGTTTTTCAAACTGCAGTGTTTTTGGCATCCATCCAGCCGAAAGCTTGCTGAGTTCATGATGTTCCCTTAAAATTGAAAATGCCAAACCAACGAAATCCCAACTTCAGTAGCATCACATCAATGGTAATTCTACGGTTTTTGTCCACCGGTTTCTGGACTTCAAACCAGAAATCATTTCATTCACATGAGAGTCGACAGTCTTCTCTTTCTTGGCTCTTTGAGGTCATCTTGGTTTTCCTTAAAATATTTGAGCTACATAAAAACTTTTGTTTTAAGTGGGCAATATTCCCATAAGCTTGTTGCAAAGCTTCAGTGATTTGGAAACACGTCAACTTGAATTCTATTAAAAAACTGAAATTAGCTTCAAAATAATTTTTCCCATGGCACAAAATGCAGCCTATTTTAGGAAGGCACACTAATGAGATTAAGATAAGGTATATTACTTGTCTGCAGTCATCTACTAATTACAGAAACATGTTTGAACACATTTTGCTTGGAAACCTGTGCATGTGTGAACTGCAACTCTAGTAACAACACTTTTTGACTCACCCTCATAAATATATTCCAATATGGTGACTACCTCACTCACTGTCATTGAGTCAATTCTAACTTAGTGCAATCCTACAGGAGAATGCGGAACTGCTCCACTGGGTTTCCAAGACTGTAAGGCTGCACGTCTTTATGGGTGCAGAAAACCTCATGTCTCCCATTGGGAGGCTGGTGAACTTGAATTGTTGACCTGTGGTTAGCGGTCCAATGCTTAACCCACTGTTCCACAATGGCTCTCGATGACTAAGAAGGTGTAAAAGTACTAAAACTTGGCAGAGAGGACACATGAATTAGCATCACTCTAATGGAAAAAAAAAAGCCTCTTTCTCTTCCCCATCTCATCAACCTCACTCTTATTCAACTGTGCATCAACTTCACATGAGACAGCACCTTCTATTCTAATCAGTCCTCAGCATCCCTTGGCCACCACCTGCTCAGCCTTCTTCATTAACTCCAGAGTCACATCTATAGTTACCCATTACTTAGTTACATGAAGTACGGAGCCTCCAGCGAACAGCCACCATCAGTTCAAGATAAAAACATTGGAGGGGTGGAGTTTGGTAAAGCTCATGTTTGAGAGTCTAATGAATTACATACTTAGAATACTACATAGAAATACAACACAGCCACAAAATAAGAAAGATAAAATCTAAGGGTGGCAATAATTGGGATAAAAATTTAAATCTAATTAATAGAATTTTCCAATTGGAGTCAAGAAAACCAAAACTTTCAGTTGGACATTAATTACATGATATAAATGTCATGTAAACCAGTTTCAAAATTCAAAAGAAATATACATCATTGTTAAATAGGAAAGCTCATTTGAAAGCAAATTTTAACTTAACCATAAGGCATCATAATACTTAACTGAAACCAAATTTTATCCAAAGGACTTTAGATGACATTCATTAAAGCAGGACATCTCACTAACCCCCACTACTTTGCAAAAAAAGTTGCAAAGCCTTACAATTACTACCAAGGAAAATCATTCATTCTATACTCTGATTTTAATATCCTAACATCACATTAAAGTACTTAATATAATGACAGATAAAATCCAAAATCAGTATTAAAAAAATCTATATTTGTTTTCCACAAAGGCATTTCCTAAAAACCCAAGAGAAAAAAATCTCTGAGAGCACAAGGGAGGCTTTCCAAAAGTTTGTGGGAAAATGGGATTAAAATATACTGAATTTTTTCTACAAATCTTTGAAGCCATCTTGTATATGTAAAGGACTGGGTCATGACTCCTTTAATACTTCATTAATTGAATTTAGGCCTTTGAGAATTCATTTTACTAAAAACACAAAGGATAAGGGAATCTGAGACTTATTGGGGAATGGGATCTATAATATTAAATAGGGTTGTAAGTATGTAAAAAAAAAAAAAGACTATGAGAGAAACAAAAAATAATAAAGATGTACTCAAATGTATTTTACTCAGAAAAATATACTTTCTATGAATTTTTATTTTCTATATCTGATCTAATGTTAGCCATATGTAGCTATTGATCTCTTTAAGTATGGCTAGTTCAAACTGGTATGTGCTGTAAGTAGAAAAAAATACATATTCTGTATGAGCCCCTAATAAAATGATAAAGAAAAAAAAGTACATATTCGATTGCAAAGCCTTACTGAAAAAAAGTAAATCATTAATTTTTAAAATATTGATGACATGTTAAAATAATATTTTGGAAATAGTGGGTTAAATAAAAATATAATTAAAATTAATCGTTTGTTTTCACATTTTAACATGTGGCTACCAGAAAGATTCAAATTATATATGTGGTTTTCATATTTTTATTGGACAGCACTGTTTTATACTCCGTAAGATATATTTAAATTGTGTTTAATAGACAAGATACAAAACAATCTTACAGAACAAAAACCTGGGCTATCATAGGATACTTTAAATTAATTTCAAAAAGATGGGGTCATTGAAGAAATATTAATTTGAGAGTTGTCATTACTATATCATAGGTGATTCAAAAGAGAACTATATTGTCCCAAAGCCTACTCTTTAACTAAATCTGGTATAAAAGATTTTGTGTATATCCAGAAATTTACTACCCAGTTTCTATAAAAATATCTCATTAGTCACTCTCTCACTACCTAATTTATTACTACCAAAAACCAAATATACTATCATAGGTATGCTAATGCCAACGAGGATTTACCTTAAAATATCTAAGATAACATCTTTCAACTTAAATCAAAGATCTATCTATAACTATTCTCATCTGAATCAATTGGAATTGGCAAATATTTACAGTAGTAATTTGACAGCTCTAGACAGTAACAATGGTTCAGTTGTGCATAAAAGGGTTCTCTAAGTGAGGACTATAAGGGTCCTGCCTTGGATTAATATTCATTACTAATTAAGTCATGCTCAAGTCAAGAGGAGGATGGATCTGAATAAAAAGTTGCATGCCAGAGGGAGAGAAGTAAAGATATAATGACAATAGAAATTAAAAACTTTTAAGGATAACTAGCTTTTAGAAGAAATAATTCTACATGGATTTGCTTAATGAACAGCAACTAGTAATTATTATATAATGAATGTAAACTACACCTTTAAACCTTACTAGATTTTGGCTGCCGTCTAAAGATGATAAAGATATCCCAGATATCCTCTGATATATGGAAAAAATAGGTTCTGGATATTGACCCTGATATCTTCCACTAATGTCTGTATCAGTTTCCTAAAGTGGGTGATACCACCCACTAAGGGGTGTTGGACTGATCCAAGGGGACTGCAAAGTAGATAACTACACTTTATTGTGGATCATGGGCTAAAGTATAAAGTTTTTCATTGCCAGGGAGTGCTGAGTAAATTTTATTTTTGAAAGGGGGTGGTAGGCCAAATAAGTTTGGAAACAAATATATGGTCTACATAAAAATTGAAATGAAAAGCTTACAATTTGTAAATATATACACAAAAAGTAGTTCTATTAATTCATTCCTCCAAGGATCTAGTGTAGGATCTGGCCACACAGCTGGTGCTCAATTAGTGTTGGGTGGAGGGTGAGAAAAATGAATAGAAATTGTAATGACAAAAGAAATACTGAAGGAATGGGGTAAAAAAATACCCTATGTAGCCAATAGTAGGTATAGGTTTTTGACATAAGAGAGAACCCAAGTAACCCAGAAATAAAAGACATGGATCCAAAACTAATTAAGGATTTTTTTAATGGCAGAAATGATAACTGTGTTCTGATTGTGATTGATGAAACAGATGAATAAATGATAGTTTTTACATGTCCAACGACTCAATGGACTGATAATTAAACTCTTAGGAGAGGTCCAAGGAGATGGCACAAACATTAGAAATGGGAATCAATTATTTCCAGGAGGCTGAGCTTGAAGAAACAAGATTTCTTTGAATTACTATCTACAGTGGGAGGAGGGAGTAGAGGGGATGACAAAATTATTTAAATCAATGCTATTGCTGAAATTCATAAGTTTTTTACTACTTAAGTGAAATTTCCACATAACAAAGGATATCTAAGAATAGATCATAGCACTGAATCTTATAAAATAAAGGGAAACATGATTTTAAGACAGGACTCAGTGAGTATCATGCTTTTCATTGCAAATACTTAAAACCTAAAAGTCCTGATATCCCTATCTTGCTTAAATAGTAAAAGGATATTACGAAAGAAAAGTATTTAAGCTTTTTACACTACCTTTTTCTGTGCTCCCATTTATTTTAGGTAAGAAGTCATCGACTTGTATCCCTAGGATTAAGACAGTGCATCATTGCCTGATCAAACAAAGTGTTACTTTAAAATGGGTCTCAAATATAATCATGGCATTTGTATTCCCACTTACATTGACATTATGTAGAACAATTTAAATTTATTTTTACAAAAAGGGATCAACATGTCATTTTCTACCCCAGGGAAACTACAGCTGCATAGTAGCCTCCAATGAGCCGCAAAAGAAAGCGGATCCGATAGCTCGTGTATTTTTGTATTTGATTATCTCTAAGTGAAATGTGTCAGTTGCAAAAAGGTCATTTATCTCAAGGACTAAACAAGAGTGCCCACTGGTGGCAACCAAGCATATTAAAGAAAATAAATTTGCCCCTAAAAGAGTGTACTTTATACCTAATAAAATAGCCCTTGCTCTTAAAAAAGAGAAAAATCCAATTTGAGATAGTAAACAAGGTCAAAAGTTTAATGACAAGAATCAGCTATAAGTAAGGAATCTGGATGACACCTACCTAAGCTGCTGTATTCTTTAAGAGTTTTCTCCTGAAGATGCTCTAACCGTACTGTGAATAAAAGTCCAAGAAAAAGATATTTCACAGATAAAAAGAAAAAAAAAAAGAATCAAATCAAATCAATTTCTAAATGGCTCACTTACCTTGTAAAGCTGCTAGCCTCTCATTGGTGAAATCATTATCAGCCTGAAGAGCTTCTATCTTGGCTTGGAGCTCCTGTTCTTTTCCTTCCATCTCATCTATTTTGAGTTGTAATTCTTTTTTCTCAGCTTGTCCCTTCTGTTGGATTTCCTCTTGTTTCCCCTCTGCTACCTGTTGAAAATGATGAAGAAAGTTCAGTTATTAATAAAACCTGACCTTGTTTTAAGAGGCTCAAGCCAAGACAACCTTCATCACTTAAATCTCTTAGGAAGGTATTTAACAATATAAAACATATTTGTGACATTTTTTTAATTGGCTAAGAAGATAAATTCAAAGGCTTGATGTAAAAAGTGATCAGCTTTGGAATCTCACTTTCATACCACCTAAGAGAAGAAAAACATCCATGTTTTCCATGCAAACAAGCTTGTTCAACATGCATAGAAAAGATCAAAGTGAAAGATTCTACATTTGCAAATGGAAATAAGATTTTCCCCTCAAAATTACTATTATTTTCATTTGAGTCAAAGTTACAAAGTGTCATGTATTTTGAAATTTTAAACAATATATAGGTATAGGGACACTTTTCAAAAGGGCTCCTTTTAACAAGACCAATATTTAAAACTATTCCAGGTTAACCAAACCACACAAAGGGAAGTGTGTTCTGGTCTCCTTTAACAGCGGGCACTCAACCCATGGTTCAAATATACGCAGATCCGCCCTCACAAACCCAGTTATATTTCAAAGGACTAAATACTCTATGGTCTAGTCTGTCTTAAATGTACCCTGAGCTATCGCTCAGGGAGTGCAGTTCAAGCAGAGTTATCACTGCACGTTATTAAACTTCAAACAGTGATGAGCATTCAATATGTTCCAGCACTAACGTAGATGAGCATTCCCTTCGGAGCTGTCTAAAAATGAGTGATTTCAGTATTTAAAGCAACAATAACAACAAAAATCTGAATATCTTAGGTGTTGCTGATTATTGCCTACATTTGATTGCACACCAAAAGATACCTATTGCAGCCTATTAACTACATTTTCATGCAGAAGAAATATGCTGTGGAGGGTGGGATAAAAGGGGGAACCGATCACAGGGATCTACATTAACCTCGTCCCTGGGGGATGGACAACAGAAAAGTGGGTAAAGGGAGACGTTGGACAGTGAAAGTAAGATATGACAAAATAATAATTTATAAATTATCAAAGGCTCATGAGGGAAGGGGGAACAGAGGGGGAGGGGGAAAAATGAACTGATGCCAGGAGCTTACGTAGAGAGCAAATGTTTTGAGAACGATGAGGGTAATGAATGTACAAATGTGACTTATGCAATTATTGTTTGTTTGGATTGTGATAAGTTATATGAGCCCCTAATAAAATGATTTTAAAAATATGCTAGCCTTTATACACTTATAATTATTTATGGCAATATGGGTCAGACTAAATAATACAAAAACAAACCTACTACCAATTGAGTCAATTCTGACTCAAAGTCACCCTATATAGGGTTTCCAAGACTTGATAGATCTTTATGGAAAGCTTCAACTTTCTCCTGTGGAGTGTCTGATGGGTTTGAACCACCGACTTTGTGATAAGTAATCCAATGCATACTCAACAGCAACACCACCAGGGTCCCTTTGAATGGAATACAAGTACCCTCTTTTGGACTATAAATTTCAATTGTGACCAATTTTTATATCAACACCTATTAGCAAGATCTAAATTTTTAGGCTATTAAATTATACACCTTTAATTTATATATAACCTTAAAAAAAGTTTTATTGACACCTTATCATTTGATCTCCCTTATGATTGTTTTAAATTTGATGTAGCTTTTGACATTTTCTGGTTTGTAATTGAGGCTTTTATTTTGCTACCACTGTTAGTTTTTTAGTTTGTTTTTTATAATGTTTTTCTCCAGGATAGGTAAATCTACAGAGATAGTGAATGAATTAATAGTTCCTTGGGTGTATGGCAGGGAATGGGGAGCTTGGGGGGTAGAGGGGGGTAGTGGGAAGCTAATAATGAGGAGTACAAGAATTAAGAAAATGTTCTAGAACTGACTGTGGTGGTGACTGTACAACTTTTTTTTCTTTATTAGTTTTTTGTTTTTTAATCATTTTATTAGGGGCTCATATAATTCTTATCACAATCCATACATACATCAATTGTGTAAAGCACATTTGTACATTCACTGTCCTCATCATTCTCAAAACATTTGCTCTCCACTTAAGCCCCTGGCATCAGCTCCTCATTTTTTCCCTCCCTCCCCGCTCCCCCCTTCCTTATGAGCCCTTGATAATTTCTAAATGATTATTTTGTTATATCTTGCCCTGTCCGACATCTCCCTTCACTCATTTTCTGTTGTCAGTCCCCCAGGGAGGAGGTCACATGTAGGTCCTTGTAATCGGTTCCCCCTTTCCAACCCACTCTCCCTCTACCCTCCCAGTACCGCCACTCACACCACTGGTCCTGAAGGGATCATCTGCCCTGGATTTCCTGTGTTTCCAGTTCCTATCTGTACCAGTGTGACTGTACAACTCTTCTTGATATGATTGAACTATCAATTTACACATACCTTTAACTTATCAGACAAATCTTTAATCTCATTAACTGCTCCATTGTATTTATTGGCTAATTCTCTTAATTCTTCCTGAGTCCGTTCATTCATTTCTTTCAAGTGGGTACATTCATCTTCAGTATTACTCAAACTTCGCTGCAATTCAAGTTTACAGGTGATTTATTTAGAATAAATGTACAATCTGAATTCAATTTATACAAAGTATAACTAAAGGTTGTTCTAAATCACAATTTGCCCTGGTCTTCATATAAGACTGAGTCAAATAACGTATGGATTTCTATATGCTTAATATACACACTGAAACAGAACATCAAACAAAAATTGGGGGGGAACAGAGCAGGATAAGGATGAGATTATAACTGTATAATTAGCCTTCCACAAGGCCAGCTGTAGTATGACTTTTATTCTGTAAAACATTTTAAGCCTATCATTTGTTGAAATCTGAGTTAATAATGCATAGTATTATTACAGTAATTAATTTTATAAGAAAGTAGAAGACAGCTATCAGCTTTCTTCCCTTACATTTCAAATTAATGACATGACAGTGAGTCAGGCACTATGATATGAAATTGTTAAAGGAAGTATTCCATTTATAACTTTTAACCAAAACTAGCTGTGGTGTTTTTCCAGTATTGGAATAGGTTGCATTCTGAATCAGGTGGGTGTTTTGGTTTTGAGGTATTTTTAAGCAATGATAATCACATTATGGCTGTTCCTCAAAAACCTAGAGGACCTCAGAGATAATTCCTCCTTTTGAAACTCCAAAATTGTCCTTTCTAAAAAAACTGTAAGTGATATTGGTTTTTAGTCTACAATGACCATCCTTGGCTAAAAAAAGAAAAACTAGGTGATAGGTGATTAGCTCTACAGAACATATCATAATTCACTGTACTGTGGCTGAATGCTAAACACAGTAAAAATAATAAGACTTCCTGATTAGCTTTTTATTTCCTGAGTCACCAACAAGTGGGCGTAGATACCAGGATTTGCATATCTAATACTCTTAAAATGAAGATACCTCAACTTCTGAAAGTTTTCTAACCACTTCAATTTTCTCCTGAAGAACCCGCCTCAGGGACTCTTTGGCTGTTGTCTCATAGTTATGCTTATCCTCTTGTAATGCTATCAGCTCTTTCCGTAAACAATCTTCTGTTTGATTCTAGGATTACAAGAAATTTATAATTATAGTCCCAATTTTTAACAAGAACATTTACCATTTGAAAAAGCTAACAATATGATATTTAAATGTTTTACATTAAGGTACCTATATACACAAATGGTATTTGCCCACTATTAACTGAAGTTGTGCCTAAAAGTTGCATCAGTAAATTATGTCTTGGAAAATCTATTAACTCATCCTTCCAACAGAAAAAAAATGTCAAAAGCAGTTGAGAATTTTCTGAAATACACAAAATGAATTACTCTTATAGTTTTTATCTTGTCTAAAGCCACAGTATTTACAATCCTAGGCAAAAACAATCAATTACTTTCAAAAGCATGGGAAGGTGAGCATCAAGGAATGCCAGAACAAAGTGTTCTTGTGTTGAGGGAGGACTTGAGTAGCGGTCCAAGGTCATACACGAACATCTTTTCCTGGTATGCCAGCAAGAAACTCTTAAAGTTTTCCACAGTTCTATCAAAAGGACTTAGGAACCCACCTGAAGGGGTTCCCAAGGGCCAAAGACAGATAATTTTAAGTACCCAATAAGAAATATAAGACAGTAGATTAAAACACTAAAATACTTTTAAATCTAAGGGAAAAACATCTCAAGTGTCATTCCTTAGTGGATGAAAAGCTGCCAGTACAAAAAGAGGAAAAAGCATTTGTCCTTTTTCTCTATAAGAACATCAGAATAACCAAATACTTAATAAGGTAAAGTTTTTCTTTATACAATTAATGAATTTAATAAATGAAGGAATTCGAGAATTATAACATCATCATTTTTGCCTTTAATGAAATAATGGATCTATCAAAGTTCATCAATAATTACCAATATCTTTTAAAAGCGAAGTAACTAGACAATAGATTGTTTACCTGAGGGATGTATGCATATCATTTATGAAATGCTCTAGGCTTACAAAAATAAATAAATCTAAGTCTAATCAAACTATCAATTTATGGGAAGGGAGAATTAAGTTGCTTAGATAATAATACAAATTGAGGGAAACTTAAAGGGTAAATCACCTCTAGTTTTTTCAACAATTATCAACTGTGATAGGAGGGGGAAAAGAAACCACTTGTGCACGGGTACTTATCATCTAATTCTTTATACTTATACATGTTTGACAATTTCCACAAAGACGAAATATGAAAAAGAATGGTGAAAATGTTTAGCACCTAGTCAAAATCACAGTCGAGTAAAGGAAGCTATATGAAAATTCTGTACTTTTCTTTATGTACCAAGATTGATACCTACTTTGGAGCATGCTTGTAATTGGTTTCCCATAACTTCTAACCTTGATAAGAGTCTATCTTCATCTATTAAAGCCTGTTGAAGAAAAATTAAGTGTAAATCAAACCACAGAGCAACTAAATACAAACTATAAAATAAAAAAGTTATCATGCAAGATAACGTATCCAGTGAAAAATGCTAAGTTTTAAACGTTTTCATTGGATAGGAAAATATTTTGTCTTATTTATTATAAGATTTTAGTTTGGGTTCATTTAACATCTAGGAAAGATTAAGCTATGTTTAAATGTTTCTTGAATATAAAGACCACTAGAAATACCTGCCAACTGGTATCTGAAGCCTCTTGGGTGATGGCCAGTAGTCGCTGTAGCGTGGCTAACTTCTGTTCCAACATCTGTTCCCGATGTAAGGCCTCCTAATTTTAAAAATCACAAGAGAAGTAACCAATTTGTACCACAATACGAAAATATCCTGTTATACTTTATATCATTTTCAAGCATATCATTTTAATCTCCAATATCATTTATTGGGCTATAAATATTACTGCTAGGGGTATTCTAGCTGTACCTTCCTTGTAACATAGAAACCAAGACACCTACCTCCATACCCACCCTCTTTTTACTCACAATTCATGAATTCTCTTTCTCTCTCTCTCTCTCTCTCACACACACACACACACACACACACACACACACACACACACCAATGAAAGCAGAGTGCTTTTCCTATGTACCGGAGATTACTTTAGAATAAGAGAGATTGCTTTATTCTCTAAGACTATTGCATTTTCAGATGTCCCGATTCTCTCCCTGATGACATATCAAGAGCAATTACTTAGCCGCAACTGAATATGCCAAAAATAAGTAAGAGCCCACCAAATTCTAGTTCAATGTAATTATAAGAGGCCAAGGAATTATGAAACTTTTGAACTACTTGGCAGCTCCAAAGGAACATTTTAAAGATAAAGAGGTTGGCTAGCAAAGCCTGACCACTAGGTGAGTGATTAACATCTGACAGCAGTTAGGACAGGCTCCTTCACAGAATGCCAAGGTGAAAATGCTCACAGGCCATGCAGCCATGGTTGGAGCACTCCTTTCCACTTCACTTTCTTCTACTCCTGTCATCATCCAGAGAGCATTCAGCCTACTCTAACACCTCGGAGTCCCCTCAATAAAGAAGTCTATGCTTCAGACACAGCACACAAGGGCTAATATATTAATTTACTGCTCTCGACATCCTCAATAAATGATAAATAAAAACATACTCTAATTAGTTAGAAGTTCTTAAACCAAAAAAAAAACCCCCTCAGATTTATAAATCCAATAAAAATTTTATCCCTCAGAACCCACATTAAAATACAGCCTTATTTTAAAGAGACTATTTTCCAAGGCTATTTTAAGGACCTGAAACATTCCTAGTATCTGAAATATTATACTGATGCTGCAAAAGTTTTACTTAAAAACAAAACCACCAAATAATAATTCCTCAGGTTTACTTCCACTAGATGGTGCAATTTCACCTTCTTAACTCGATTTGGTTTTGTTTCCTAAAAGCAATCTAAAACTTCGAGGAATGTTCTTTCAGTTCTAAAGTATGAAATCAAAAGGTTTACAACTTAAATTTTCTTTCCCCTCTGAAAATAAAATAGACCTACATCAATTAATGTGCCTCCCTAACGAAATGGCAATAAACAGCTAACAGTTGCAGAGTACATGCTGTGCCAGACACAGTTTTACATGTCCTCAATTATTCATCATAGTGCTGTGAGATAGGTACTATTATTATAGTCTTCTCATACAGGAGGGAAATGGGGCACAAAAGAGAAATACAACTTTCACAGGAGGTTGTAAATTAATGCCAAGGATTAAATGCAGGGAATTCTGATTAGAGCAGAGGTTTTCAAATACAACTACACTGCAAGTATGTAAAGCTAGATTTCAAAGGTTCACATGCTCAGCTACTAACTGTACCTCAGAAGAAAGGCCTAATGACCTGCTTTGGAAAAATCAGCCACTGAAAACCCTCGGAGTACAGTTCTATTCTTACACATTATTAGGTTGCCCCAGTCAGAATGGCTTGGCAGTAACTGGTTATTTATGGACCATTACTTTATACCAGATAGAATTCCACGGTGGGCACTCAGGACTGGTTTGTTTAATCAACAGAAAACAAGAGAAGGCCTGCTGACAGAACTGATTAGTAGATCCCAGATAAAATCACCAATCTCTAAACTTGTGGTCCAGGATGTTCCTTAACCATACTCCCTCATCAAAGAACCATATCCAGCCCAGTTCTATGAGAACCAGAAAAAAAATCTAACACCTGTTTCCTTTTGAGAGATTTGTATTGCTGTTTAAATACATTGCTAACTTCTTTAGAAAGTTTTCCAATTATCATTCTAAGATCCCAAAGCATAGTAGTTAAAAGCATAGACTCGGAGCTTTGTCTGTTAAGTTCAAATCTCAGCTCTACTACTAACTAGATACGTGGTATATAAATTATTTAACCTCACTGTCCCTCAGTTACTTCTGTGAAAATAGAAATAAAATATCTTATACGATAATGGTGAGAATTAAGTAGATTAATAAAGGTAAAGTGGTAGAAGATGGTATATAATAAGTGCTCTGTAATTACTTACTGATAATATTATTATGAAATAAACAAAATGTTTCCAGTTATAGTTTTATTTAAAAATCATCTATGGATAAAGAACTACTTTGGAACAGCCTACCCTCTTGTACAGAATCTTATTTCCTCTACACTTCCTGAGCTTTTGTGCTTTCTTCATATTTTAAATATTTCATTCTTATTATAAAGATTTATATTAGTATCTAGTCAATGGTTCTTTTTCCATTTTAATAAACTGACCAAATCAAATTTAGGTCGTTCAATTTTGCCCTTCAAAACGACAAGTGCTCATGATTCACTTTTACCTGTAGATACTGAGAAAGCTGGAAAAGTTCCTGAGAGTACATACTTGGAGTGTTAGCAGCAACCTGGAACAAAATGGCACAGTGTCTTCAGTCACACAGGACACTTTAAGTCAAACCAATTCCTGCAATGTCTAGTACATCTACAAAATGAAAGTGACTTTTCAAACTAGCCAGGGTGGGGACACAAGCTACTTATACAAACATTCCCTGGCAAAGCAAACTACAAAATTATGGCATAAAGGTACTATAGCCTTCTCTAAATACGTCCTAATTAGTCAATCTTTTTCTTTCTTTTAATCTTTAAATTGGTTTTCAATATGTTGAAAACTCACAATTCATTTCAAAGTAAATATTTTCAAGTATTTGTACATATGTGGAGGTGGTAGGATATGAAATAAAATTTTGTCCAATGGACACAAGTCGTGAAGATAGTTTTCTCTTCTTTTTTTTTAAACTGTTAAGTAGCTGTTAGGGTTGAAATGTGTAAAATAATGGTGTTTAAATATTACAAACAGTCTAACTGCTTAGAACTTAAAAGAGTATTAGTAGATGTGTCTTTTATAAGGAATTATTCAAGGTTGTGAACACAGAAGCATGGCTTAATTTTTTTAAGCCGCTAAAGCAGCGGTTCTCAATCTGTGGGTCATGACCCCTTTGGGGGTTGAATGACACTTTCACAGGAATCGCCTGATTCATAACAGTAGCAAAATTACACTTATGAAGTATCAACGAAAATAATTTTATGGTTGGGGGGGATAGTCACCACAATATGAGGAACTGTATTACATATATATGTATGTATGTTATGTATGTATATATTAATACCTTACATAAACAACAAAGTAGAGGCATTATTTTTTAAGATTAGTCCTAAAGCAGTAAAAACATTAAATATCTCTTACATAATTCTTGCTTAAGTTGGAGTCAGTGAATGGTGAAACTGACTTTTCATTTCTAAAAAAGAAATCTAACAGAGAACTTTAGTTTTAAGTAGGTTATCATTCTTCTTCCAGTGACTGAAAAATGTAAAATGTTTCCCAACAGTGAAAAATAAATTAGAAACATACATAGTTTAGTTACAATCTTAAGAAAATTCAGTGTATCTCCATTAATGTCAAGGATGTTGAATAAAACAAAGACATTTTCTAAAAGCAATTAGTGCAAAGTTTCTAGACAAAATCAGGTTAAAACTGTTCTTCAAGAACAATACAATAACTTGTGTAAGTCAATATTTTCATGTATGGGCAAATGTTGAACTATTTGGGTAGATAGTTTTAATAAACTTTTCTGGACAGAAAAGTGTTTCAAAATAAAAACTAGTGGTTAACACTACTGAGTACCTCCAGGTAGACACAAGGAAAGTATTCCTTGTCCGCAGTCAACAGATCACATGAAATAACAGTCGTTCCCTTCCCCCTGCCACCAACACCAAAAAAGAAAAACAATTCATTCCTCAAGTTTTCTATGTCATCTAGATATTAAATCAGAAGACTATTATTTTTTAGCTATAAATGAAGTAATGTATGCTTCTAGGTAGAACATATTAAAAATAAACAAAATTCCCAAAGCAATTAACCAATTTGAATATAATTGTTAGCAACTTACTTTGTCAACAGGACTTGGTAATGGGGCATGGATGACACTGAAAAGTAAAATTTAGAATTTTTATCTAATTTCCTGTCAGAGGAAACTGTTTGAGAGTACCAGAATATCTTATGCCCCGAAGTTGTTACATGTACCTTCATGTAATTCTTAAAAGACTGAATTATTGTACAATTCAACATAAGTATATAGAATTCTTAAGAAACAAAGTGATGAATTAGCTTTTACCAATGTATTTCTAAAAACAGCTTCAAAATAAAAAATGTATTAAATGCTTCCTGAGTACCCACTATTTAGTAAGAGCAGCAGTGTATGCCTTGGCTATAAAATCTGTATGGAAAAGAAGCATTTGTAAAATTAATCCATTTTCAGTTCTGGAGGGTGTAGATTAAATTTTTTTAAACCCAAACATTCCCATAAAGACGATCTTTGAAAGCAAAATTCCATTGGAAAGAACCCCTATGGATTGTGATAACCGTTGTATGAGCCCCTAATAAAATGTAAAAAAAAAAGAAAGAAAGAAAACACAGGTTAAAAAAAAAAAAAAGATAAGTGGGAGCAATATGAGGTTTTGTGAAAACAGACAGTAATAAATGCTGGCTACCTTAAAAATAAAAAATAAACAAATA